ATAAGGCAGACTAAATTTAAAGGATCATCCTTCATTCTGAAATCAAGTTCTTATTGCTTTCTTGTTATTAAAATTTCATTTATGAAATGATGATGGTGATAGTACATCATAAGTCTCCTTTTCTTCTCGAATGTTCTTAGCAGAATAAGAAGTAAGTTACTTTATCTCATTCTATAAACTTTTTTTTGAATTGTTATAGGGTTCTGAAGTCCCACACAGGGAACCACTACTTTAATACATTTTGCAAAATGTTCAGAGTATTTCACTTTGTCATAGCACTTGGCAGTTTATTAAGCATTTTCACATCAACTATCTCACTCACGGCTCTACAGTCTGTGAGCCAATCTTATTTTCCAGAGTAAAAATAGAATTTAGGAAGGGTAAGCAACTTGATCAACATTACACAGACAGATCATTAAAGAAAATTCAGATTCTAATCTCTGTCTTTTGACTTTAAATCCTGTCTGCTCTTAAGTGATTCATAAATCTGGCCAAACAACTAGGGTCATAAGGGGAATGTTTTAAAAACATCAAATGGATAAATCTGAATTTCTGGAGGATAGAGCCTAAGCGTTACATCTTTTAAGAGTGCTCCAAGTGATTCTGGAAGGCAGCCAGGTTTGGGGACCAGTACTCAACATGACACTGCCTCTGTCTACTCAGTTTTACCAGGAATAACAGGGGCTTAAGAGTCAGAGCTGGGTATTTCTGATTGAGTCCTATCACCTACGTGAGCCTCGTCCTTCATCTGTGAAAAGAGAATAATGTCATCTAATATGCAGAGCTGTAAAATACATGAAAAGTGCCTAGATGTGGTAGTTACTAAAAAAATGGCAGATATTTTATTATTATGATTAATATTTATATTACTATGCTATTAGAATGAATATACTGCCTAATATGATGCTTGAAAGTACTGAGTAAGTCTAAGGTATCTCTTATAAGAAGCGATGATTCTAACATTTTCCTGAAGCAAATTCACTACAAATATGGAAAACCTCCTCATTTATGACTTTTGGAACTCCTAGCAGGTCCCAGTTCCCTCTGCTGTGAATAGTAATATCTGTAAATTGCTTTTGTCTCTTGAAGTCTAAATCACCATAATTTTATTTGAGTTAAAGTTTCAAATGGTTTTGAGGAAGTGGATTTTTGTTGAGTATTAGACAGGCATAACTGGAATAACTGGTATTTAAAAGTGAAAAATCTCTTAGTTATGCTATTTTCTATCATGGTAAGATGATCTCCAATGCTAGATATTTGCTTCTGTGGAGCTTATAATTCATATCTGAATTATAAAAATTAAAATAGCATAAAAAATATTTGAAGCAGCTTACCAAAAAAAAAAGTGATAATAAAAGACTTTCCTGTGGCCCAACGGTTAAGAATCCATCTGTCAATGCAAGGGACACGGGTTTGATCCCTGGTCTGGGAAGTAAGAACCCATATGTCATGGGGCAACTAAACCTATGTGCCACAGCTATTGAACCCATGCACTCTAGAAACCAGTGCTCAGCAACAAGAGAAGCCACATTGCTGTGAGACGCCTGTGCACCGCAACTAGAGAATAACCTCCACTTGCTGCAACCAGAGAAAGCCCATGCAACAGTGAAGACCTGGTGTGGCCAAAAAATAAAAAAGTGATAATTAGACAACAATGAGGTCAGAGATAGAGCTGAGAATTCCCAATAAATGGGGTAAAAATGGAGGAGAATGGAATATGGGGCAGAGGAGATGATTTTTTCAGGAAACCAGGAGCAGCTCTTTATAAAAAGTGCGTATTTCAGTAAGCATTAAGACAGTGTTTTAAAAATTATGAAAATTTTTTTCTGAATGTTTCTTACCACAAATCACAAATACTCATCACCAATATACAGCTACAGCCTGAATAAAGGAATTTTTTCTAAGTAGAATAGAATTTATGTATGTCCACTCTTTATAGGAAGCAGTGAGGGCTTTTCTTTTGGTGACTAATTTCACTCTTCTTCTGAAAGAGTATATACTGCATTTAAGTATTCCATCTTTATCCCTCTATCATCATTTTTTCTTTGGGTAGATAAACAATTATTTCATCATTTTGATAATGTTGTGTGTGTGTTAATTGCTCAGTTGTGTCTGACTCTATGCAACCGAATGGACTTCTCTGTCCATGGGAATTTCCAGGCAAAAATACTGGAGTGCATTACCATTCCCTTCTCCACGGGTCTTCCCCACCAAAAGATAATGTTACAATTTTTATCTGCAAAGTTATGTACATTTTTAGGATTGTTATCCATTTGGGAAAGCTTCTATCATATTCCTCTCTTCCTGTGGTCTCTTTCTATTTCTTCCCTCCTTTTTATAAAACCCAAGTAGGTCTTAATCATGAAAACACAGGCTATTATGGTAATGGTAACAAGGATCCAAAATGATATCCCTTATAAATTCATAATAAAAGTGGTAGTTTTTTATTCCCTGAGCATGATTAATTTGATATATTTCTTTTTGTTTTTAAAAAACTATTCCCTTGCTCTTGTTATAGTCAAAATGAAAACTTCTTCCTGGTTTTAGGCACTGTTTCCTTTCTGTTCCTGCTGTCACTGGCCTGGTCCAGGCTCATGCGTTTCTTCATCTTGGCTGCTCTGAGAGTCTCTTTTTCAAGCTGGTCTCCTTACCTCCAGGCTCCTGTAAGTGGTCCACTTTGAGCATCCTATAACTGTAGCTATACTCAACTTTCTAAAAAGGGCTTGGATTGTCTATTTTCCACCAAAACTCTTTCTTGGCCACCCACTGTTGACCATAATCCTGTCTAACATTCAAGCCACATGATTTACTCCCCAAATACCTCTCTCTCTCCTTACGGTATAGCTGGAGATATTCTGCTACTTGCTAGTGCCTAGATACAATCTGAACTTTACCATCTCCTTTACCCTACTATTGCCTCTAACAAGACAAGTAAATAATAATAACTAATTATAATTTCCATGTATAAGCCACCATTCTTTTCAGATAATCTGTAATTTACATTTGCCCCCAAATCTAACAGGTCACACTTTTAAGACTCTAAGTTGGGGAGGCATATTTACTGTTGCTTCCTTTGCCAACATACATGAAGCCAGTTGGCAGGATTAATCTGGAAAGCAAGAGGCCCTGCTGAATTCCTATGCAACAAAAACAAATGAAACCGAATTTGCTGGGCTATCTTGTTTATTTTGGTTCATTCATCAGTGTAATATAGGACATACAACTTTGGAATAGATATAAAGGGGCCTGAAATTTCTGCCATGACCAACCATATAACTTGCAGAAAATCACACAAACTTTCTGGTCCCTCATTTTTTTCTCATTGACAAAATGGAAAACTGTCTTGTTTTGTTCAAACAGTATACATACAAAAGAAACTACTCTTATTAGTTACCATTCCCAACAACACAGTCCCTTTTTTGTATCTATTTGGTTTACAATTCTGTCATTCCCAAAGCTTTTGCATCTTTCATAACTCCATCTCAACAGAAACTGAGAGTCTTAGAGCAAGAAACTAACACCAAATATCACAAATGATATTCAAATATACCGCTTTTTAGGTTGTTGATTAGATCACCTCTTGGGCTTTTCCCAGCTTTAAAGCAGTAAGATTCTATATTTAAATTCATAGCTGAAATTCACATGAAACCTTCAGATATGTAAATATCACTCCATCTTGTTACCTAAGAAGTGCTTGGACTTGCCACAATTTCCCTGCCTTATCATTCCAGACCTCATGAAGGCTTAATATATCTGTGTCCCTCTCATATACACAGAACCTCGTAGGGCATCTCGTATCTCTTGTCATTTGCACTATAGTTACTCCTTTTACGTCTGAATAGAGTTAGGCTTTAAAGAAATGTGAATTTGAAACAACAAATTACTGAAACACATTTTATGTTTATTCTTAAATTGCTAATTGTGATATCTGAAATTCTGAAGACATAAAAATTTCAATCAATGTCTTCTTGGAAGAGGCAAAGATTCTCAAAGTGTCTACTTTGTGAAATATAACATTATACGGTGAAGTATAACACAGGGGACACTGGAGCGACTGCTTGCTCCTGAAACTTGGCTTGTCATCCTAATCCAAAGCACGGACTTTGAAATCAAGACAGCAAACATACTACCTCTCCCTCATCTTACTAACTCCCCACTAAAGTCGTTGGAGTTTAGTCGCTAAGTCATGTCTGACTCTTCGCGGCCCCATGGACTGTAGTCTGCCAGGCTCCTCTGTCCATGGAATTCTCCAGGCAAGAATACTGGAGTGGGTTGTCATTTCCTTCTCCAAGGGATCTTCCCGACCCACATACTGATTCTGTGTCTCCTACATTTTTTACTGCTGAGCCTCCAGATAAGTGCCTCCCCCACCTCCTCTACTAAAGTAGACATTGATAAATTTAAACCAAAAATCAAATCTCTTTGCTATCTCCATTTAAAAGAATTTTCTGTCTGAAATTTTGACCTGAAAGTTGGCACTGGCATGCCTTTTCCTACAGTTGTCTAAATTTTCAATAAAATTGTAGTCATGATAAAGAAACAACAAATTCTCCTACAGTATACTTGGAGATTTTAGAACAAATCTTACCTAAGAAACTCTGAAGCTACAAATAAATGGAAGTTGATGCCTCCAAATACAAATACACATACGCGCGCGCGCACACACACACACACACACACACACACACACACCATTATTTCAGGAACAACCAAAGAAGAGGTAATTTCAAAATCTAGTACAAATGTGATACACAATATTGAAATTTTATTCTACTATATTCAAGTGAGACATCAGGAAAGAAAGAAAAACTCTAGCCCACTTTTCCTTAATATAAAATAAAGCTCTTATAGTTTTAACTGACGTAGAATCTCAATTTTCCAATGGGTCATCACTTATCAATGCTAGAAAATGTTAACATTTATTCAAATAGCAGGACTGCACAAAAGCTATTGACACAAATCCCTCCAGAAAAATAGAATGCAAAGAAGCTGGCACTTACTTGGCACAAACCACTGATGCACATATCCAAAGATTCTGTGTAGCAACGAGTCCCATCTAAGACTTTAGGTGCAAGTTCAACAACCAGGGCTGTTCCTTTGGCCTGACACTTGAGGGAACATGGGTTGTCAGGGTCATTAGACACAGGAAGCCATTCATAAAACTGGCCATGGTATTTGACATCATTATGAGCTGAGCACTGCTGTGCTCGGAAATCACCTGCTTCTGGTGGACAGTCCTGGAGAAGAAAAGAAGGGTGGGAGAAACATAGGTTAAAAGAAAAGCCTCAAACAGAAACCTAGAGCAGCAGAATGCTCCAAGTCATTGGAAACAAAGTAAATGTTCTATCACTACAGATGGATCCTCCCATAGCATCTGAAAGGTCATATGATTATTTGGCTCTCAAAATGTAGAAATTTGAGAAAGTCATCAGCTTGAAATACATTTTCCGATAGAAGTAAAATGGGAAAGAAACCAGCTTGAAATAGATCTGACGGATACTAGCCCGCCAGGCTCCAATGTCCATGGGATTTTCCAGGCAAGAATACTGAAGTGGGCTGTCATTTCCTACTCCTGGGGATCTTCCTGACCCAGGGATCAAAGCTGTGTCTTCTGCATTGCAGATAGATACTTTGCCAGAGCCAACACCTGATTACTTCATTATCCTTTTTAAGAATTCTCTTTAACAAGGTTTTTTCCTGTGAAAATCTATTTACATGTAAATAAGCATTGGGAGAGTTGCATTATGCTATTTTACAAAATGAACACTGTCTCTTTTCTCAAAATTCAGTGTTACTGCAAGCATGCTAAGTTGCCTCAGTTGTGTCTAAATCTTTGCTACCGGATGAGCGGTACCCACTGGGCTCCCCTGTCCATGGATTCTCCAGGCAAGAACACTGGAGTGGGTTGCCATGCCCTCCTCCAGGGGATCTTCCCCACCTAGGGATCAAACCCGTGTCTCTTACATCTCCTGTGTTGGCAAGTGCGTTCTTTACCACTAGCGCTCATTACTACTAAGTAGCATATAAGGCTCTAACATTTCAGAAGGCATAAATTCTTTCTAGGCAGAACTGGGTGTAGACAACTAAAAACTTATTTCAGATGACATGAAACTAGCTCAAAATACAATATAAATCTGAAAGGCATTTCATTGTTAGTATCATATACATTCTGAGAGTGAGTAAGATGTAGAATTAAAGGAAAAGGATAATTTTTATTGTATTTTACAGATACATAGGTACTCAACAAGGCTTAATTGATTATGAATATTGTATGAAAAAAAGTTAATGGTCATTAAACAAGTCAATATGTGTGTGTTGTACTTTGTTTGTTGTAATAGGTAGTTTGTTGCGAGAAATAAAATAAAATTCACAATCTGCAATCCTATGCTATAAGTCAGAAAACAATAGATATATGATGTAGCACAAGTTCTCTAAACTTAAATGTTTTAACACCAGCTCTTTTCAGAACCATGTGTTCCAAGATAAGAGCACAAACTAATTTAATATTAATTATTTATGAACTTATGTTCCAAAAACAATATTGCAACTTTCCCAGTGTACAAATCCTACCATTCTCCAACTAGACTTCATTAATTAGCTTCCATCCTGAAACAACCCTGTGACTAACTATGGCCCCCAAACTCTGCACATCTTCTTCCCTAAATTACCCATTTGAGAAATTAGACTGTCAAGGTGCTCTTTCCGCTTGTTTAGCAAGTTTAATAAAATCAGCTTTATAAAATTAACATATTTCCAAGGTGGCTGCTGCAAGGGGGCTTTCATGGTTGAACTGAGAGTGTAATTAATAATTTTTAAGTAAAGCATTTTCAGTTGCATAATACCTGTCATTCCAAGAATCAATTACTCAGCAGTATAGAAGAAATGTCCATGAACGGACCACACCCAAATAATTTGGTCCATGGATGGACTAACACCCAAAAAAGATGTCCTTTTCATAACAGGGGGCTGAAATGCAAAACTAGGAAGTCAAGAAACATCTGGAGTAACAGGCAAATTTGACCTTGGAGTACAGAATGAAGCAGGGCAAAGGCTAATAGAGTTTTGCCAAGAAAACGCACTGGTCATAACAAACGCCCTCTTCCAACAACACAAGAGAAGACTATACATGGACATCACCAGATGGCCAACACCGAAATCAGACTGATTATATCCTTTGCAGCCAAAGATGGAGAAGCTCTATACAGTTAGCAAAAACAAGACCAGGAGTGGACCGTGGCTCAGATCATGAAATCGTTTTGCCAAATTTAGACTTGAATTGAAGAAAGTGGGGAAAACCACTAGATCATTCAGGTATGACCTAAATCAAATCCCTTACAATTATACAGTGGAAGTGAGAAATAGATTTAAGGGACTAGATCTGATACAATTATACAGTGGAAGTGAGAAATAGATTTAAGAGACTAGATCTGATAGACAGAGTGCCTGATGAACTAAGGATGGAGGTTCGTGACATTGTACAGCAGACAGGGATCAAGATCATCCCCAAGAAAAAGAAATGCAAAAAAGCAAAATGGCTGTCTGAGGAGGCCTTCCAAATATCTGTGAAAAGAAGACAAGCAAAAAGCAAAGGGGAGAAGGAAAGATATACCCATTTGAATCCAGAGTTTCAAAGAATAGCAAGAAGACATAAGAAAGCTTTCCTCAGTGATCAATGCAAAGAAATAGAGGAAAACAACAGAATGGGAAAGACTAGAGATCTCTTCAAAGAAATTTGAGATACCAAGGGAATATTTCATGAAAAGATGGGCTCAATAAAGAACAGAAATGGTATGGACCTAAAAGAAGCAGAAGATATTAAGAAGAGGTGACAAGAATACACAGAAGAACTGTACAAAAAAGATCTTCATGACCCAGATAATCATGATGGTGTGATCACTCACCTAGAGCCAGACATCCTGGAATGTGAAATCAAGTGGGCCTTAGGAAGCATCACTATGAACAAAGCTAGTGGAGCTGCTGGAATTCCAGTTGAGCTATTTCAAATCCCTAAGGATGACACGGTGAAAGTGCTGCACTCAATACGCCAGCAAATTTGGAAAACTTAGCAGTGGCCACANGAAAACTAAGATCATGTCATCCGGCCCCATCACTTCATGGGAAATAGATGGAAAAGCAGTGGAAACAGTGGCAGACTTTAATTTTGGGGGCTCCAAAATCACTGCAGATGGTGACTGCAGCCATGAAATTAAGAGATGCTTGCTCCTTGGAAGAAAAGTTATGACCAACCTAGACAGCATATTAAAAAGCAGAGACATTACTTTGCCAACAAAGGTCCATCTAGTCAAGGCTATGGTTTTTCCAGGGGTCATGTATGGATGTGAGAGTTGGACTGTGAAGAAAGCTGAGCACCAAAAAATTGATGCTTTTGAATTGTGGTGGTGCTGAAGACTCTTGAGAGTCCCTTGGACTGCAAGGAGGTCCAACTAGTCCATCCTAAAGGAGATCAGTTCTGAGTGTTCATTGGAGGGACTGATGTTGAAGCTAAAACTCCAATACCTTGGCCACCTGATGTGAAGAGCTGACTTTTGAAAAGACTCTGATCCTGGGAAAGATTGAGGACAGGAGGAGAAGTGGATGACAGAGGATGAGATGGTTGGATGGCATCACCAACTCATTAGACATGAGTTTCAGTAAACTCTGGGAGTTGGTGATGGAAGGGAGACCAGGCCTGGCCTGGTCCATGGGGTCGTACAGAGTTGGACACGACTGAGCAACTGAACTGAACTGAATATAAGAAATAGTGATAAAGGGGAACATCGAGCAAACTGTTTTAGAGTTGTCCCCAACCCCATTATAATTGCTCTTACTTTCTTTTAATAAATGAAAGTGAATCAGCCATAAGGGGATTTCAGGTTGAATTGCCTCTGCATTAAGTTATAAGGGTAATATATAGTTAAGAGACCTCTTAATATGAACCTGAGATAATTTTCTGCATTTATCCAATTTTAAGAAAAGAATGTCAATTACATTTTAAAATTGAAGTTACATCACTTTAGTACAGACATAAAACTATAGAGTCTCTTATGAATCCCTCCTGCTCAACAAAATGTCTGGAGTCTTCCCATCTTTACTAAAATAAATAAGACTGAAAGTCAGTCAAAGGTAAAATTTTAAAAAGTGAAGTTAAACTATTAAGACTTATAGGTTTTCTTTTCTGTGACAAAAAGTAGACATATTTAAACATATCACGGAAAATCAACAAGCAGACAGACGTTCCTGTTCTCAATTCACCTATATCTACTAGCTCCAAGAACACCTGCCACAGGTTTTATAAACGTTCACAACTAGGGAAATATCTCTGAGAATAATAATGTTTGTGAACACCTCTACTCACTTTCATCACTGCGGTCTTTCCTCCTGCCCCTACTTCTGTGGGGTGGGAAAATATATTTTGCTAAATTGAGAATGCACTTAAAACCTGGAGTTCAGAATTGGAAACTGAACTTGAACCTTTTAATGTTTTGAGTTTATTTGTACTTGGCAAAATGCAACTTCCTGTTTTAAGAAAAAGGACTTAAGAGGATTTATAAAACAGGTTCAGAAAGCTTCTTGGACATCAAATAGCTCTTACAAAATAACATTTTGATGATTTAAGTGTAAATGAATCAGAAACATATGAATCAAATTTCCCTTGAAATACACATGTTTAAAAATTAAGGGAAGAAGGATTTGGCAAAAGCTTCTTTTGTTGAACCCAAAACATCTCAAGCATAGTTCAAGACATTCACTGAACCCCTGAAGCATCTGGAATCACCCAGCTGCAGGAGTGGAAACTCAAGCAAAGTCATCATAGTTTCTTGTCCCATAGTATCGTAATAATAATTACAGCAAAATAACTGTTACTTGTATACAGATTCATCATGTACATCATTTTTAGTTCTGAATTATAGTTTGATCCATGAAACCACTATAATTTCTGATCCTCCTAAAAGTCAGGTTTAGAAACTGATGCCCTAACTGCTTTGACATCCTATCCTGGGCATTATTTTTGAAGTATCTCATAGGTAGTAATGATTAAGACAAAATTGCTGAAGTCTAGTACCTATTTGAACTAAATATATCCCCCACCAAGAATCTGGCAAAAAGCATGGTGTGGGAAGGATGCTCTGGACTAAAGATCACCAGCTTTCAGCTAGAGACACCATCCAGTAGAATTAGAGAGTGAGAGAGCAAAAGAACACATTTTTTTGGCTTTCTGTCTCATTCCAACTAACTATAATGCCTGAATATTGACAACTGTGTTAGACTACTGAGCTAGAACTTCCTCACCCTGAAAGAAAAATATTTTATTTAACATAGTCAGATGATCCCATGAATTACTGTATTTAGCCACTTAATATATTTTTCACTCCAAGTTTTAAGCACTCAATTCTAACCACGTCAGAGTTTTTTCTTTTTCTTTAAAAGCACAAAAATATAAACTGACCTTTAATGTGCTTCCATTATAATTCATAAAGTTCGTGGAGTTCTGCCATATATGAATCCAATTCAAAACATTTTCTGGTTAATCAACTAGCCAGTGGGGAAGATAAGATGGATCCCAGATGTCCCCTGATGATGACAGGCGGATCAGATTACACTGTGGGACAAGAGAGGGTATGGCTTCCCAGTTGATTCACTGGGTGAAATGTGGACGATTATATAGCAGCAGCTAAGGTGGCAACATCAGAAAGGCCTTTAAAATGGTTTTGAAAAAAATAAACAGCTTACGGATTTAGGGTCAGGAAAAACATGACTTTTAATTTTTTTCTCTTTTTAAAGATGACATTTACCTTCCTGAGGGATGGCCTTCTGTTTTGCCTCTATCCTTAAATATTTGGTAGTTGGCCTTTTCTGCTAATGTTACTGTTTAATTTAAAGTACTACATGAGTGGCATGATATCAATGCCATATTCTGATTCCATGGTTGTTATAAATAAGTGAAAGAAAGTGTCAGTTGCTCAGTCATGTCTGACTCTTTGCGACCCCATGGAGTGTAGCCTGCCA